AATTTTTCATTTCTTTTTCCTCCTCCCTTCCTTCCTCTTTCTCTTTCTCCCTTTGCCTTCTTCCCCCACAGTCCCAGCCCTTTCTTTCCTCTCCTCCTCTCCTTCCTCCCTTTCTCTTCTTCCTTTCTTCCTTTCTATTCTCCCACAGCCGCAGCCCTTCTTCCTCTTCCCTTCCTCCTCTGCTTTCTCCCTTCTCCTTCTTCCTCATTCTCTCTTCTCCCTTTCCCTTCTTCTCGCACAGCCGCAGCCTTTTCTTCTCTCTCTTTCCTCCTCTACTTTCTCCCTTCTCTTCCCCTCTTTCTTTCTTCTCCTTTCTTCCCTTCTCCTTCTTCTCCCTTCCTTCCCTTCTCCCCCACAGCCGCAGCCCTTTCTTCCCTCTCCTTCCTCCTCTGCTTTCCTGCTCCTTCTTCCTCTTTCTCTCTCTCCCTTTCCCTTCTTCCTCGGCCTCCGCAGCTCCTCGTGTGGAAGGTAGAGGAGCGCAGTCGCCTGCTCTCCCCTCTTCCCCTTCTCTTCTTCCTCTCCTTCTTCTCTCTCCCACAGCCGCAGTCGCAGCTGCAGCCCCCTTCCTCTCCTTCCTTCCTTCCTCCCATTCTCTTCTTCCGTCCTTTCTTCTCCCCCAGCCGCAGCCCCAGCCGCAGCCTCTTCTTCTTCCCCTTCTCTTCTTCTTCTTCTTCTTCTTCTTCTTCTTCTCTTCTCTCTTTCTTCCCTTCTCTTCTCCTCCACCGACGCACCACCCGTGCTCTGTTCTCCTCGTGCCGGAAGCATTGGTGAGCGGGAGGCGCAGGGATAAAAATCACCCTTTTTCCTCAATTTTTTTTACTTTTATTTAGTATATATAATATTTATATTTATAAACATATCCTCATAAACATAAAAATCACTTTCTTCTCTTTAAATGAAGATTTTAATCCTTTAAACTTCACATATCTAATATAAAATATTCAAGATTAATATATCTTTACATATCAATTATATCATGACATCACATATAATTAATTATGTTAAAACATATAAAACTTAAGATATTTTTCATTTGAATTATTAATCCTCGAATACAATTATTTCTACTTGATCTTAAATATTAAGATAATTTAATATCGTATCAAAGTCACTAGTTACACTACATTTAATGTAAATGTTAATGTTATGCATGCTTAGTCATTTGTAGAACATTGAAAATGAGATATTTTGAAGATAACATATATATATTATTTATATTTTTATTGATAAGTTAGTCAAAATTCAATGTGTAAGACTCGGGTGCTATAATTGGTTAACGTGTTAGAGATCGAGCATTGTGCTATATGTTCAAGCATTATGTCGGAAGAATCAAATATTATGTCAAAAAATTGAATGTCGTGGGTGTTGGGAAATCTACGGGGTGACATCACATGCGCAACGGAAGAACAGAAAACAAAATCCCAAATTCCCAAAGATATGTTCGACATCGTGCGAAGATTGGTGCGCAAAAATCCGCAAAATAGAAAATCACGTATGAGATAAATTGTGTTACCTAGAGAGATCGTATATCCTTGAATCCCTACAGATCTCCATGAGAGGGTAAAGGAGGTCAAGCGCCCTCCTCTCTAGCAGTGATCCACATAGTAGGGCTGTGATGACGCTTCTCAAAACTCAAAACTCCAGGCCTACTCTGAGGTGGAGAGGGAGAGAAGAATAGGAGAGGAAGCAAAAAGCTCTAGCCTATAAACTATTGAAACCCTCCTATTTATATAGGTTCCTTGTCAACTTAACTCTAATGGATCCTCTCATATTGGGTATTAGATCTCCATTCAACTACCCAAGTCTCTTAGATTAGTGGATCTCTATCTAATAATCTCTCATGGGCTCTTATTGGATCTCATCCATAGGATCCAATAATTTAAGGGCTTATTTGATATCCAATAAGATAGTGGTTTTGGCGGATATCTCATATTTGAACCTCTACTCATCACAATGCCTACCATATGTATGTGACCCTCTAGGCCCAATATCGAGCTGGCCGTGAGTCATACCTGTCAGAACTCTTTCTAGCTCGGTGAATTATTATCTCCATAATAATTCACTCGACTCATCGACTGCGGATATACTATGTCACTACGTCGTAGTCCCCAAACGATACAAGGGAATCCAATCCATTGAATCTATCAGTCCTCAATTACCGTGTACCTATAGCCCCTCATCTATCTAATATTCCAGAAATTGTATATCGGGCATGGTGCTATTAGACCTTTATGGTTTCTACTCGAGTCTTGCTCTAATCGGATTCTCCCGAAGAATTTTTTTTTCTCAATCCGAATGACCCTAGCCAGGAATTTGTCTTAGCAAGAACATATGGGACATTCCTCTCATGACACCGAGAGTGGATGATCCTCTATCGACACTCAATAGTCCTCATAAGATTGACTACCACTCTCGATGATTGACTATGTTAGATCTGAGACATCCAAACCTATAAGTCCGGTATCAAAGAGTGGAGCACTCATATAGGACATCCTTGGTGTCTCAAGTCTAAGGATCAGATACACCACTATGATTGCAGAATCACTGTTTGACAATAAGGCATCATCAACTATTCAACATTTCATAAGCGGATCAATCAGTGAACTCATTCCCCAATGAGCACTTGTATTGTATCCCTAGTGTCCCCACACGAGCAACTATGAGACCAACTACATCCATCATATGGACAGGTATACAACACATCAGTTTGTCTAGTTATCTCGATGTCTCTCTCGAGTAACATATGACCGGGATTATTTAGAATCTGTGATTAAAGGCAAATCGGTCTCATTATCGTGATCTCATCACGATTCGATTCTCATTGCATAGATCCAA